AGAGAGAGAGAGAGAGAGAGAGAGAGAGAGAGAGAGAGAGAGTGCTACTGTGGGCAGGCCGTAGGTGAGGAGGGCAGAGGTGAGCAGAGGTGGAGGTGAGGTGGGCAGAGGCGGATGTGAGGTGGGCGGAGGCGAGCGTAGGTGGAGGCGGGAGCGGAGGTGAGTGGAGGCGGAGGAGAACTGGCGGGGGAATGCCAAGGGAGAAGTGGCAGAGGAATCCCAAGGGGTGGGGGGAGGAGGAGGGGAGGGGACCGGCCGGCGGAGGCGGAGCCGAGGTGGCCCCCGAGCGAAGAAGAGGTGGGTGGAGGCAGGGAGGAGATGGTGGGCGGTGGCGGAGGGGAGGTGGGCGAAGGCGGAGAGGATATGGCAGGAGGAGGCGGAGGGGAGGTGGGCGGAGGTGGAGGCGAGGTGGGCACCGGGCGGAGAAGAGGTGGGCGGAGGCGGAGAGGAGATTGTGGGCGGTGGCGGAGAGGAGATTGTGGGCGGTGGCGGAGGGGAGATGGCTGGAGGAGGTGGAAAGGAGGTGGGCGGAGGCGGAAGGTGGGAGCTGGTGGCGGAGTCGAGGTAGGCAGGTGGGAGGGCCCGTGGACTTCAGTGCAGGGAAAGCGACGCCCTGCAACGGGCCCTATTTCCAACGGGCGCGCCGATCCGGGCCGCCCGCAGTCCTACCAGCCCGACGGTCTGGATTTCCGTGTGATCTTAAGACTTTAAGATCGCACGATGATCCAGGCCATCCGGCAAAGCGGACGGTCTGGATCACCGCGCGATCTTGAAGTCTTAAAAGTCTTGAGATCGCGCCGAAATACGGACCGTCGGCCGGTAGACCGCGGGCGGCCCGGATCGGCCAAATCTCACGTACCAAATTGCGATTTCTATAAGTGTAGGGATGGAGAAAATAATGTTAGGAGAGTTCCACAAGTTTGGAGCTTCCATCAGCTGAATGGTAGCAACATGAAACTGACAACGAAGGAGAGAATACTTCATACACTTTGCTATCTGGTGAAGTTGCCTTCCTTTTCTTTCAACAACTTACAAAACCAGAAAATTCAGAAACCACCTGGCCCCTGTGGCTGCATGACACACTCATGTGGCTGTTGATGAATGGATCATCCGTTGAAAAACTTTGAATCCTGATGGAATCAGATGGATACAGAAAACAAAAAAAAAGATAGATAGGTGGGCAGAAGACCTCAAGGAATAGACGCTATGCAGTTTGAGACATCCCAAACCTTTTCTTGCTCGATGGGGAAAGAAAAAGCCATCATTTACTTGCATACAAACGACTGAAGCTTTGAAAACATATATGCAAATCTCCCTAAGCTTCACACCTTCAGATTGCGCACTTGATGCAGGCAACCAGCCGGAATAAAAACAGCTTCGCCAAAGTACTGCTCAAATGTCCAAGCCTCCACACCTGCAGGTTGTAACAGATTAATCAGCAAAGTGCTTCGGCACATGAAATCCATCAAACTAAGTGACATCTCAGAGGACCAGCAATGTGCCTCTCCACACAACGCCCATCAAAAACTTGGAATGATAACCTCAACAGGGTTGAGACTGTCCACCTTACAGCACTGAGGAGTGATTTAGCTTACAGCACACAGTACAGAGTTACTACATGTGCTTCACAGATCCTGAGCAAATACATGCATTACTTGAAGTACTRCTAGATGACCTGTTGCAGCTGCAAGGAACCAAACAATGAGTTCACAAAATTTTCGAGATGCAAAAGCCCATAGAAGACCAAGCATGAGTTGAAAGCAGAATTACAAAATCCACGAGCACACCAACTAACAGAACACTGAACACTGAAGTCTCTTGACAAAACAAAGCCCACTTTTTTGCCTCAAATAATCTATACAACTAGCCCTACTATGACGTGTCTGCCTATACTACTCTCCCACACTACCTACACACACTAGTCTACTCCCTCCCTCCCTCTCTCTCTCTCTCTCTCTCTCTCTCTCTCTCTCTCTCTCTCTCTCTCTCTCTCTCTCTCTCCATGATCCTCTCGCCAGATCATGCTGAAGAGTCTGACCACTTTGTGTGCTCCACGACCATCACCAGGTTAGTACCGCGAGTTTCCCTCATCCCTGACCTCCACAACCCAATGCCACCCTACTCTCTACACAGTGTTTCCAGCTATGGCTCGTGCATCCCTCGGTGGCTGCCTTATTTCCAGGGCGCTATCTGGCAAAGCGCACACCAACAGCGCTGCTGCATTGAGCCACTGCCCTGAATCAGCTGCTCTCCCCGGCCTCCTCTCTTTTGTCCTTTCTCGAGACTGCGGTCTGGGTCCAGGCCTGAGTCCACGTCTCAGTCCAAGTAGCTAACTCGCAGGCTGGACCTACAGGTTAGTTACAAGGGTGGGGTGGGGTCCAGCCTCTGCCCAGATATGCCAGGCGACACCTTCTGTTAGGGCCGGGCTGATTTGTAATGGCTGCCCGGCCCTAACGGAAGGCATCGCCTGAAATATCTGGGCAGAGGCTGGACCCCACCCCTGTAGCTAACCTGTAGGGCCAGCCTGCGAGTTGGCTACTTGGACTGGGACCTGGACTGAGGCCTGGACCCAGACTGCAGTCTCGAGAGAGGACAAAAGTGAGGAGGCCGAGCAGAGCAGCAGATTCAGGCCTGAATCCCCACATGGGTTTGCTTGTAAAGAAAATAGGCTGTGTGACAACGTCATGTATCAGTCACTGCTCGATGCCAACCGCCGACCGATCCACAGCCGGCCCATCAGCGGACCTCTCACTGGATAGCAGGAACTTATCAGCTGAGAGAAAACGGACGGCCGGGCTGTTCTGTGCATGTGCCGAACACCTGGAAACAGCTACGAAAACAATGCTTCCGGGTGTTTGAGTTTTTGGAAGAGGGGAGGAGGGGGGGGGGAGGCATGGACAACTGATTAAGGAGAGTGGCTTCAGACAGGGCATGTGCGACAGAGGTCTGAAAGAGCTTCATACTAGTTCATTGAGAGAAAACTGCAGTGGAGGAGGAGGCAAAGGAGAACAAAAAACAAACTTGGGCCGTTGTGAAGGGGCGACGACCCCCCGACTGGTGCCTCCCAACCGATGGACCAGTCGGCTGGTCAGGAGGCGACCAAATGGGAGCTGCCTACCGTTGGAGTTGCAACTCTGATATGTGAGGCATTTGCGGTGGTGGGCACTCACCTGTTTAGAATTCAAATCACTCTTGAGTCTTGAGCGAAATCAACCCATATATAAATCTACTGACCATTGAGGTGGAAAAACCGAAATCAACCCATATATAAATCTACTGACCATTGAGGTGGAAAAACCTTTCTCTCTCTCTCTCTCTCTCTCTCTCTCTCTCTCTCTCTCTCTCTCTCTCTCTCTCTCTCTCTCTCTCTCTCTCTCCTCCCACCGCCAAAACCCCAAGAAATATTCACGCCCAAGTCATTCTCTCTGAGAATTATGTTTCCGCAGGTCGTTGTGCAATCTCTATGAAGAAACAAAAAAAGGAGATGACAATAAGGTGAGCGAAATGAGAAAAGATGAAGGCGATAGTGATGCAACGGGAAAACTCTGTCACTCTCTCTCGCTGTCCTCCCATCCTCTCTCCGTCTGTTACATACACAGATATGCAATGTACGTACTAAACGAGGAACTGCAATGTGATGAAAAGGACTGAATGGACAATACAGTGCGAGTGGAATCTCGACAGACAATGTGCATTCTCATACATACAAAAAGGTGCTGAATAGCGCAGGGAAGACTTTGATACAAAGACTGACCTGACAGGACTGACCTCATTCACGTAGTTCAGAGTAGCGAAGCAGAATGCTAGAGCACTACTAACTAGCCCAATCAATGTTTGAACTCAGACTAAACATGCATTGTATCCATCACCAAGTGTGAAGGAGCCTGGCGCTGTACACAGGAAGAAAGCGCCAGGTCCAGACATATACAGACGAAGAGACAAGGATCAGACGAAAGGAGGGAGAAGGATGGGAATGTCGTTAACACCAAGTCTTGGTCACCAATCCCAAATAGCCCCTCGTTGCCATGTCTGAACCCCCTAAAGTCGAGTCTGGATCAAATGTCACCAAGCTCCGTATCTCTTCTCTCATAGTCTGCAAATGCAGTGAAGTCAGAAGTTGAGAGGGAGAGGAGAGATGGTGGACTGAGAAGAAGAAGAAGAAGAAACTCTCTCTCTCTGTTACGAACCAGATACTAACCTATGATGTTGGCGCTGTGCTGCAGGTACCTCGAAGATGAAGCTGGAGCAACGGCGCTGCAGGTAGGTATCTCTGGCCTCTGCCCAAGCTCTCTCTCTCTCTCTAGTACTACCTAGCTATGGCGCCCAGCGCTGGAGACTACAGCTACCTACTGCGCCCAGCGCTGAAGACTACAAGCTAACGCTACTACTCTACACTGCAGCGCTCCCTCCAGAGTGCTGCTCCCGAATCCTGAASACTACAACTGCCTCCTGCCTGTAGGGCGGGCCAATCTTATATAGTGCTGGCCCGTCCAGGAGGCTGCTCTTGCCAATGCCCAAATGTGCTAGACCCTGAGGAAGCTTCCAGGAAGTTTCCAGGTAGCTTCTGGCTGAAGCCTGAGGAAGATTCTGGAAAGTTCCTAGGTAGCTTCTGGCTAAAGCCTGAGGGCCTATAGGCCCTTAAATGCCATGGGGCCTGTAAGCCCTGGATTTCAGGCTTTCGGGCTGAAACAGCCACGGGGTCTGTAAGCCCTGGATTTCAGGTTTTCGGCCTGAAACAGCCACGGGGCCTGTAAGCCCTGGATTTCAGGCTTTCGGCCTGAAGGACGCAGGGCCTGGAAAATAGCCCTCGTGTGCAGGCGCAGCATGTAACACCCCCCCCTCCTTATGAAGTCAAGCCGGGGCGAGGGCGAAGCCGACGATCTGAAGGTGGAACCAAGACGCGGGCGCGGCATGGAGTCGAAGAAACCGGCTTGCCTTGCATCTTGCGTTCGTGGCGTGAGAGAACGTCTGGAGCTGTTGCTTGAAGTTCTGCACGGGTCAACCAACGGTCAGCTCGGTGTGTGCAGTATGCAAAATGCACTAAATACTCAGTTGGCTTGTTGCCGTAGCGTCGCTGGGAGATGATGTCGCCGACCTCCTGAAAACCATCCATAGAAGGTGGGTCTTGCGTACGTCTCCCGGGAAAATCGTCATGTTCCGCTGGCGTGTACAAAGCCAATTTGGAACAATGAAAGACTAGGTAGACGGGCAAGTGGCTAGGCACCTGAATCGTGAAGGAAGGTCCTTCAGGTGCGTCCCCAGCGGGCTCTATGATCGGCCAAGGTCCCATCCATTTCGGAAGGAGCTTGCGAGAGATGTCTTGTTCAAGGCTGAATTTCGCTGCTGAAACCCAGACGAGGTCCCCAGCGCGGAATGGACAAGGGAGACGCTGGCGATTTGCCTGTTGGCTCATGCGCTGTTGCGTCTTAGCCATCTGGTCGCGTGCCTTGACAAGAAGCTCTTGCATCCGACGCAAGAAAAGAAGATGGTCGTC